CACATGAAAAAATGCTCATCATCTTTAATCATCAGAGAAATGCAAATCAAAACCACTTTGTGATATCATCTAACTCCTATAAGAGTATCCCACATAATAAAATCCCAAAACTATAGACGTTGGCATGGATGTGGAGAGAAGGGAACATTTCTGCATCGCTGGTGGGAATGCAAACTAATACGCCCCTTCTGCAAAGAAGTTTGGAGAACACCTAGGGAATGGAAAGTAGATCTGCCATTTGATCCTGCAATTCCTCTACTAGGTATATATCCAGATTACCAAAAATCACTTTACAACAAAGACATTTGCACAAGAATGTTTATTGCAGCCCAATTCATAATTGCCAAGTCATGGAAGCAGCCCAAGTGCCCATCAACCCAAGAATGGATTAACAAATTGTGGTATATGTATACTGTGGAATATTATGCAGCCATAAAAAAGATGGGGATTTTACCTCTTTTACGTTTACATGTATGGAGCTGGATCATATTCTTCTTAGTAAAGTATCTCAAGAATGGAAAAAAAAATAGCCAATGTACTCAATACTATTATGAAATCAATACATAATCACCCACACTTTCATATGAAAGATATAACACAATTATAGCCCAGAAAGGAGAGAAGAGGAGGGGGACGGAAGAGGAGGGGGACGGGAGAGGAGGGGAGTGGACAGGTGGTGGTGGGGTAATTGGTGGGACCTCACCTATTGTACATATTGCAAAGGTACATGTCAAATATATCAATAGTATTAATAGTAGAGGTTAAATGTCTAAACACAACAATAAATAAATGAGGTGAATGCTATGTTAACCAATTTGATGTAAACATTCCAAATGGCATATAAAATCAGCACATTGTACCCCATAATTGCAGCAATATACACAGTTATGATCTAATAAAAAAAGAAAAAAAAATCACTGTTAGAACACCCACAATAATAGTTGCTGCAGGCACTCCCCACCAAAGACTACTAAGAATATTATGGCAGTTTCAAAGCAGTTCATCTAAAATATCAGCCAGTTACAATACAAAAACTGGTAACTTTGTGGTCAAGAAACCTGATAAGCACCATTTTGAACCAAGGGATCAAGGTCAACATCACCAATAAGACATATTTACATTATGCATCCCGAGTGTAAGTCACTGAGAAGGGCACTATGTCACTTCCGTGGTGTGCTTGCTAAAAACACATCACCTCATTGTGGGAAAACACAGGACAAACCTACACTGATGGACATCTGCAATATAGTTATTGGCCAGTACTGATCAAAAGATTGTTAAAGACAAGGAAAAACTGAGACTGGCACAGACTGGAGGAGACTAAAGAGTGTACCTAATGCAATGTACGTGGGACCCCTCAGCATCTAGACTCATGTGCTCACAACACGCAGGGAGGAAATGGTGAGTTTCAAATAAGAACTGGAGTTAACAGTATTGTTCCTACATTAGAGTCTTGGTTCTGATTGCTGTATGTATATGATACAGGGAAGCTGGGCAAAGGGTGAATGTGAGCTGTTAAACAATAAAAAGTTAAAAAGATAACAAAACCAAAAAATCTTAAAGACCTCTATGGAACAGATACTGTACAGGGATAAGGACAGAGTCAGATAACCAGTTGTAAGGCTATAAGGGAAATAAATCATCTGGGGGAGAACGATGGTGCTTGGACTAGGGGACAGTAGGAAGGAAAGGAGATGTGTTGAATTCTGGGTATTTTTTGACAGTAGAACGGGCACTATTTGATGGTAGAATAACTTTGGGAGAGGGAGAAAAAAAGGAATTAAAGATGACTTTAAAGTGCTTAACCTAAACAATTATACTTTCAAGTTAATACACTTTTTAAAGTGCTTTGTTTATCTTATTTGAATTAATCCTTACAACAATAGGAGTTTAATAGTCATAACAAAAATAAGTCCAAGTACTTCTGCTGGGCGCTTTACAATGTGATATCTCACTTTATTTTCCCCTGGGTAGTAGATGCTGTCCATTTATTCTTATCTAATATATGAAAAAAGTGGAGACACAGACAAGCTTAGCAGTTACCCACGGTTATCCAGCTGGTAAGTGACAGAGTTAGGATTTAGAAGTCCACAGCCTGATTCTGACACTTCCAGTCTTAACTCCACTGCCTAATTTTATAGTTAAGGAAAGTGAAATTTAAGAGGTTGAACCATCTGCCATGATTCACACAGTACAAACGTGGCAAAGCCATAACTTGCCCCCAGTTCTGATTTGAAAGCCCAAGCTCCCACCGCCATGCTCTTCTGCTGGATCACACGTGTGCCAGCATGGGTGATGTTAGGTGCGAGCTCTCTTGGCACAGCCTGGGATGCTGGGGGCCAGAAGTCACAAAAGGTGAATTTGCCAGCTACAGGCATCACCTCCAGGCAGGGGATTCAGGTGGCTTCCTTGTCCCTGTTCCTACACTGGCCAGGGCTGTTCCATGGCCCGGAGCAGTAAGGAGAGACGTCATTACCAGGCCCAGGGCAGCAGCACCATATGCTGGAGCCACATGTGCCCAGGAATCCCACTGTGCTCATCAGCCTCACTGGTCAGCGGCCAGTCGAAAAGGACAGATAAATTCATGCACTCATTTCCATAGGCCAGAGGGTCACTCCTTTGTCTCTCTGTCTAGAAAGAGGCACTCCCTGTCCACCTTGCCCCCCAAACATGAAAAAAATGTTCTCAGTCTCTAATAAACCTAAATGAATTCTTCTTACAAGAAGAGAATATGCCAAAAAAATTAGGCCGAAGCGTCCTGGGTAATAATTAACTCTGGCTGCAAAGAGGAAGGTAATTTTTTTTTCTGTTTCTGTATATTTTTTTCTGACTTTTTCAATTTTCCATAATGATCATGTAAACTTGATAATTATTTAAATTGTAGTAATTACTGGTAACTTGGCAAGTATTTAAAAGAAAAATCTAAGTGTGGACTCTCAAGTCTGACTCCCTATGTTTGAATACTAGGTCCGCCACTTGTTAGCTATGTGATCATGAGAAGGTAACTATTTAAGCCATGGTTTTCTCATCTGTCAAAAGAGATTAATATCAGATCCAACCTTACAGTAGAATTTTTACGAGGATTAAATAATACATGTAAATAATTTAGCAGTAACTTTTAGCTATTTTATTATGATGATAATTCTTAACTTCTCAATTATATTGGATTTTCTTGCCTCCATGTTATCCACCGTCCCCTGTCCCCATCTGGGTGCGAAGCTCACCTTGTTGGCAAACAAAAGGACTGCTGAGAAAATGGGGACTCTTGGATGGATGGTCTGTGCGTTGATGGGAGAAAAAATTTCCCAGGAAAAAGTCATCATTTCATCATTATGGTTCTTAGCAAAGCAGTCAAACATTGGCTGGTGTTTTTCATTATTTCCATTCTCCAGGGAGCGTACCCTCAGTGTCTCCAGTAAATTGGACTTTCAAAGGTAAATGTAAATTTTAGTGTTAATTTATTTAAAGTAAATTATTCAGAGAGTCCTATGTCGGCAAACCTCATTTTTGTGGTACTATATTAATGTCTTCCTTAAATACAGCTCGTGTTTTCTAAAAGCTGTTTTATGAGTCCAGGAAATCTGTCTATTACAAAGAAGTGCTTATTGTAAAGGATGTTTTAGTCCTCGGGTTCAATTAGGGAGAGAGCCAGGGTCAATGGGAGCCCTATGTGTGAACAGTGGTAATAGCCGAGGTGTAGTAGGAAAGTGGGAAGCCCGCGAAAGCACATGGGTTTTTATTTGGCAGGAAGGACCAGTGCAGAAAGGTAAATGGAGGGCTCTATACAAATTTCACTAGTCTTCAGGGAGCCTAGCAACAGCAATGGACCAATCCACTGTAGCAGAAAGAAGACAGGTTCAGAGAGGAAGCTCCTGGGTCCTACTCCGCATCTTCCCTGGCAAAATCAATCTAAGTCTGCATTCCCTTCTCTACATAGGGGAGAGGAATAACTATCTTAACTATCTTCCTTAAGGGCTGCTTCCGACCACCAAATAAAATAGCTACACAATGCCTTGAAAGATTGAAAGAACCATAGAAATATAAAGCAGCACATGTCCCTGTATGTATAATTTTTGATTACTATTTTTATTACTATCAGATCTCAGGTACACAGGATTGAATTTCTTTTACTCAATTCTCGATGTATTATCATCACCAGACTGTGCAAGGTTCTTCTCGTATTTAATTTATTTCTTTATTCTCTTGATCCTTATTCTTCACTCATAGTCCCTGCCACCACCACCCACCACCAACAATCTCTCTAATGTGTTTACTACGTGCTTTAAAAAATAGGCACTCACGTGGGTATTTTGTATGCATGGATGTGTACGTACATATGAATGGTATTGTGTTATAAACCTCCTTTTGTCTCTTTTAGCACCCATCCCTGTGTTTTTAAGGGATTTTTTTTTTCATCTTTACACATATAGTTCATCAGTTAGAATGGCCCCATAGTACCTCAGGATATGAATTTGCCACCTCTACCAGTGAACCCTCTGAGTAAGGGATCTTCACGCTGCCCCCAACTCCCTGCCACCTCAATGACAGAAGTGGCTACTCTTGGATATTATTCTTCATGGTCACGTTTAAGAATCTGTTTGGAGGATACACCCAGGAAGGGACAGAACTGGGCAAAGGACATGAACAGGCAATTTTCAGGAAAGAAAACCCGAAAGATCAGTAAGTATTTAAAATTTTACTCAAATATATTAGGGATCAAAAAAAGTGAATCAAAATAAATGAGCCATTGCTTTATACAATTTATACTGACAATAATTAGAAAGCTGGACAGTGCCAAGGGTAGGTAGAGATGGGGGATGTGGGACTCTCACCCACTGTTGGTGGGACTAGCAGTGGGTACAGTGGTTTGGGAGAGGCATCTGGCAGTATTGAGCCAAATGCAAACATGGATAATTTGGGGGAGGTATTTTTTATTATTGCTTTTTTGAATTAAAAATAATTCTTAAACATCTGCTTTCCTCATTAAGAAATAATTATTCAGCTTTGCTCAGTGGCAGTATCATAGCCAATGAGATTTATCCAATGCACAATTATTGCTAATTGAAAACTTTTCCCAATACCCCACAATGATGACTTGAAATATAGTCGGCATTGGCAATTTTTGACAGTCTCCACAGAGACTGAAAAAAAAAAAAAAAGAAATAATTATTCAACACCTACTAACCTATCTCTCCCTAGCAATATTGGGTGGTAGAACTATAACAGTAAACCAGTGGGACACGGGCCTTGCTCTCACAGAACTTAAGATACAGCTGGGAATGTTTGATAATCTCTGCACCCTCAGGACCTTGCAGTGTTTCTGGCTCACTCTAGGAGCCCAGTAAATGTTTGCTGAAGAAATGGGTGAGGAGCAGCAGATACTAACTACACTATTTTTCTTCAATCTTACCAGAAGCGGATAATTCTCAGCCCCCAAGGCAGGCCCTCAATCTCCTGTTACTTTGTGATCTGCAACTTGTTCCTGGACTCTAGAGCCACTCTCTCGTAAAAGTTATGTTCAATTAACATTAATTACCTTCTCATTACATAGCTATGTTCCTTTATCTCCTAACATGCATTCAGTGATATAGGTAATAATATTATGTTCATTTTACAGATGGGGGAAAACTGGAACTCAGAACAGTGATGGAACTTGCCTAAGATCATAGAGCTTTTGAGGCACATGTTAGACTCCACCATAGATCATCTTTATTCCAGGGCCCGTGTCCTCTTCATTAGATCCCTGTTTGGGTGGGTGAAGGGGTGGGTCAAATTTACCTTTGGGGTGGTAACTGGCACCTTGATATATGCACATTAGATTTTTGGCAAATATCCCATTTTACAACTGTCTGTGAAGGCATTGTTTTCTGCCCCAAGGGTTGTTGAAAATACTGTAGAAAATCACCAACATCAGCTCCCTGCCATCTTCCTCCAACAATGCAGCTTTCAGCTGCTGAAATTGCTCATTAAAATGGAACCCCAAACTTTGCCTTAGCACCTTCCAAGGCCTCAGCCAGTCCCCTCCCAAATGGTTCTGTTCAGGGTTGAAAAGATTTATAGCATCCTTTAGCTGCTGACGATGTTTCCTTATTGATCCTGCTTCCGGAGTTCTGCTCAGGGGACAGGGAGTGACCGAAATGCTAAATTTTTACCAGCCTCACCACAAAATCAGCCAGACAGCCCAGACCTCCTTTGGGACCCAGAGCTGAAGGTGGAGAGCCACTGAGTCACACATTTCCTCCTGATCCCTCTCCCCCTCCCTCCATTCAATGCCTCAAGAGCCTGTTTCTAAATTTAATCCAAGATCTTTGCCTAAAGATTTCACTCTTCATTTGCTTCTGAGATACTTGCTCTGCCATAGCCACACTACAGCATTCATGAAGCACCACAGTAGCCCTCCTCACACTGCAAACCTGGACTGGCCTTTTTGAGGTCAAGGACTGTGTAATTCCTGCACCTAATGCTGGAAATGTTGGATGAAAGATGGACAGACACACCAGACGGCAGGAACTAAGAATATGGGAAGACCCCACTGCCATGGACAAGTTGTAAATGCCAAACTTTAGTTCTAAGATTCTGAGGGCAGCAACATCATTCATTCTCTATTACTATAGAAGACGTCTTACTCATGAACAAACACCGCATCAGGGATGGCAAAGTATTTATATAGAGAGATAGCACCCCTCCCTACTGTCACATCCATGAAAAATGTCATTATTTACTCAAGGTGTCCTATTTCACTGGGTATCCAGGCAGCCATTACTAAGCATGAGAGATGATACCTGTGTCCCCCTCTCAGCTAGGAGCAATGTACCATGCTGTGCTCTGCGCCATAGGTGACACAAAACCATGGTGCCTCATGGTCTCATAGAAAACAAAATGTTTTCACATACAAAACATTAAAATACACTGAAATCCTCCATCATTGCTTATTCATGTAACAAAAATTCATTGAGCAGTTATTATGTGCCAGAAACTATCTAAAAAGTCAGGACATGTAAAGATGACTGAGGTGCAGTCTTTGCCTTCAGGGAATTTCTGATCTAACAGAGGATGTGGAACCTGCAGTTCATATTCAATGTGGTGAGTTGTCTGCTGGAGAAAATATGGTGTGCTATGGGAACACATAAGAATGCCTTGGGAGATATCCAGAGAAAGGGTTCTGTATTAGTTTCTTGACGCAATAACATATTACCACAAATTGATAGTTTAAACCAATAGAAATGTGTTCTCTCATAGTTCTGGAGGCCAGATTCCCAAAATCTGTTATCACTGGGTGACAGCCAGAGCCACACATCTTCCAGAGGCCACAGAGGAAAAATCTGTTCCTTGCCTCTTCCAACTCTGGTGGCTGTCAGTATTCCTTGACTTGTGGCTGTTCATTATTCTCCAATCTGCAAGGCCAGAATCTTCAAATCTGTCTCTGTCCTGTCTGTCTTCCCACTGCTTTCTCCTCCATATGTGTCAAATCCCCCCCTCTGTCTCCCTCTTGAAAGAAGATATACAATTGCATTTAAGGCCCACCTAGGTAATCTACGATAATCTCTCCATCTCAAGATCCTTAATTTAATCACATTTTTCATCTTCTTTTTGCCATATAAGCTAGCATGCATACAGGGGTCAGGATGTGGATATATTTTTAGTGATCATTTTTCAGTCCGTGAACCAGTGCCTGTTACTCAAATATTCTACAAATGAGTGAGGTCACGTCTGAGCTGAGAACACAAGGGTAAGTATTCACAGAGTTGCACACTACTTGTGCAGAGAGGACATAAGATTAAAATTGGGAGAGGTCATAAGCTGGAGAAGGAAGGAGGAAACCAAGAGTTGGGGAAATCAATTCAGTTGGACGCCAACCGTGGTGCTGGTAAGGAATAGTAGGCAAGGTTAGGGAAGATGGGTGAGCAACAGCAAAGATACTGTCGGGAAGGAAAGCTAAAGCTGGTTCAGGATGACGCTCTGTAAAACAGGAAACTCCCAGTAGTCCACTTCAGGTGAGGTTTCAATCCCTTTGCTGAGCTAGGACAGGGAAGAGAATGTTGGCAATGACGCGAGGGGGCTCCTTGGCTCTGCTGGCTTCTGCTTTGCTTCCTGTGCCTGTGATGCCCCTCCCCCACCACCTCCTCAGGCAACACCTTCTTACCTTCCCGGTCTCAGCATAAGTGTCTCTTCCTGACATTGGCTTTGTATCATCCTGTCCTCCTCCCACAGAGCCCAGCATAACCAGTCAGAGGAGTGGAGCAATAGTGAGTAAAAATGACAACACTGGAACAGAAGTTCCACCAGAACAGGGAGCCCCACGGACAGGAGTTTTTGTCTGTTTTGTTCATTGCCTGGACACTGAAACACTGCATGGTACATGGTAGACACATAACAAAAGAGTAAACAAATGTTAAAAGAGTAAACAAATGGAGCCAGACTTTTGCATTTGAATCCTAGTTACACCACTTACTAGCTATAAATTCCTGAACTACTTACCCTCTCTGCACCTCAGTGCCTTTGTCTATAAAATCAGGGTATTTATTAGTACCTGCCTCATGGGGGTGTTCTGCAGAGTAAAAGAGTTGATATAGGCCAAACATTTAGAATTGTGGAGGCCAGGCGCGGTGGCTCATGCCTGTAATCCCAGCACTCTGAGAGGCCGAGGCAGGTGGATCACTTGAGCTCAGGAGTTTAAGACCAGCCTGAGCAAGAGTGAAACCCTGTCTCTAAAAAATTTAGCCAGATATGGTGGCAGGTGCCTGTAGTTCCAGCTACTTGGGTGGCTGAGGCAAGAGGATGACTTGAGCCCAAGAGTTTGAAGTTGCTATGAGTTATGATGCTATGGCACTCTGCAGGGGGCAAGAGAGTGAGACTCTGTCTCAAAAACAAAACAAAACAAAAAAAAAACGTTTAAAACTGTGCCTGGCTCAAAGGTATTTTCCAAATCTGCAGTGCACAGGTGCACAAAGATTCCCCTGAAGATTAATATATAATTTTGAAATATACTCTGAACTATGTTGAAAATCGCAATTCATAAAGGGATACACACTCAAAAATGCCCACATCACCATTAACATACAGCAAAACACGTCACCTTGCCTACCTCTCATTGGCTTTGAAATCAGTAAATGATCTGATCTAAATTTTTAATATATTAAGCTATTCTAACAAAATACCTGTTCACAGTGTTGGAGTTCCAAGAAGAGAGTTCACTTGAAAACTGGGTACACAGCAGAGAGGTGGTTGAGATATATCTCTAAACATATACAAAGAAGACAGTAAAGTTTGCCGTCTTTGAAGGAATCGCCTTGTCGCAGCAGGAAGGAAGAGAGGACACTCGTGATTTGTTAATTTCGGCAATGACTTTGACCCAGCATTCTACCACAGTTACAAAATGGGAGGCACCAAGATGGTGTCCGTCCTCATCTCTGCTCACTCAATGGAAAGGAAGTTGCCCCAGAAATGGCAAATTGATAGAATGAGTTTTCACAAGGAATTGCTTGGCTGGTCTCCTCAACCCGTTTTCATTTGTTCCAGAAATGAAAATTAACAGCCTACCATGTTGCAAGTATCGTGCTGGGTGCTGAGGCTGTAGTGGCAAAGGGAGTGAAGGAGACACGATTACTCCCTCACTGAGCATAAGGAGCTCAGGAAAGAATGTTAAACAGTGAGAGGAAGTGTGGACAGTCCCATGACAAAGGAAGCACTCTTCCATGCTAAATGGAGTCACTCAGGCCTGCAATGGATGTCCTCGAACTGCCCAGAGGAAGGAGATTTGAGCTGAGACCTAAGCAATAGATTGGAGGAGTTGATTCAGTGAAAAGGAAATGCAGAGAGGTCAGGAAGAGAACAATATTCCAGCAGCGAGAAGGGCATGCATGAACGCAAGAAACCAGAGAGCATATCATGCTTGCAGACATGAAAGAAATTCAATATGGCTGAACCTTTCACCATAGAGGCCCATAGAACTGGACCTTTCACCATAATGCGTACACACTGATAAATCACTCAGTGTATTTCTCGGCCTTTAATTAATTTTTCCTCTCTTTCTTTCTCTCTCTCCCTTTCTCTATTGCCTTTTTCTTTTTTATTTCAACTCTCCTTCTGATTATCACCTGACCCCTTATAATATCCACTTTTCCAGATGGTCCCCACTCAT